TCAAAATAGAAATTTTTTCCTTGTTTTATTTTATTTCGAAGATACTTACAGATGCAATCACTCGACTATGTAGCTGTGGGCCAACCAAATTCGTTGTAGGATTACTAGCTTCTGTAAAAATAGAATGTGCTTCAAGTTCCTGGGAAAGAGTATCAGACATTTTTTGTGCCATTGTGGAGGTTGGGTTCAACTGATTTCCTAGCATATGTGGTGCACTAACTCCATTCTGGAATCTAATAGATATTGCAAATTAGCATATGTACAGTAATATAAAACACTTTATTATAGCAATCATTTTTATTTCTTACAATTTTATATCCTTCTCTTCTTTTGGGTTTGTGAGAGTCGGAGTACTGGATGCAGAAGGCGTTGGTGTTATAGAAGCAGCACTGGCGCTTTTCCGTTTCTTTCTTCCAGGCCCACTACTGCTCATACTCTCAGAACCAGGACTGCTGGGTGGAGATTCTTTGACAGTAGGTCCCATGTTGTTTGCAGATCCAGAACTAATGTTACTAAAATGACCACCGCTCAATGTTGGTCCTTGAATAATTGATGGTACAGGCGCCACAGTTACAGCAGGTGGAGGAGTTTGATGATTACTTCTTCCCCCTCGTTTAGACGTTGTTACCACTGCACTGCTAGATACTGATGTCACCACGGAAGAAACTGGTTGGGACTGTTGTTGTTGCGTCTGAGACTGTATTTGTGGCAGTGCTGGTTGACTATTCGATGATCCACGTTTTGGTTTTCGAGCCTTTTCTTGCTTATCTGACGATTGAGAACTGAGAAAGCAACGAAATGAATATTTATTCGGAAGTATTGAATAACTGTATTTTTGTGCGGCCTTGAAACTAAGAATAGTCGAAAAGTTCTGGAAAATTGATTTGTTATATAAAATTCAAAACAAACGGACCGTTGCGCACTGCCATTTACATCACGTTACTCCTTTTCTTCGTTCGTTGCCCTTGAGGCCCCTTGAGGTAGAAAAAACAAACATAACCTCAAAGTATCCTTAAAGCTACAGACGAATCAGAGGACGTCAAGAAAATCACAGTCGTTCACAATAATTTCTGTCAGAATCCGATTACGATTTACATCACACAAAAGCGAAATAAAAAATTCTCCTGAATTCATTTTTGCATTCGTACAACTTGTAACTCGTCGTCGCGAACACATTCCAATCGCCACGATGTTTTTCGGAGATTTTACATAACGCAGTCGCATCCTTGATGAAACGATATTTTTCACAGTACCATAAATCCATATGTAACAAGATTTTTTCTACCTGAATGTTTTTTACGAAACGCAAGAAGAGGTTAAAAACAAAGAGGCTTGTTTATCCAGCTAGTCAGCCATTTTGATACCTCCTGTTTTGGCGCGAATTTCAAATTACCCGCAACACTCACGATTTTTCTTAATTTTAACTTTTCATTTTATATTACAACTACATACACGTATGTTACAAATATAATTATATTATATAATATTAATATTAGTTAAAAGGTTTCAAATGATAATAATAATTATTAACGTTATTAGTAAATGGACATTTTACATATGAAAAAATATCAGTATCAAAATTTAAATGTAAACTTACCGAGATCTCTTAACAGGTGCTTCTTCAGACATAAATCTTTCAGAATTCGACATCGCCCTCGGTTCCGTAGTAGCTGCGGTAGTTATGATACTCTGTTGCAATTGTTGGTATAACGTTGGAGCACTTGTCACCACACTCTGTACCGTATTGGACAATGAAGTCGCAGTCAATGGAACAGATACGACTATACTATTCGATGTGGTTGTTGGTGATTGAGTAACAACCGATGATTGGGATTGCGTTACTGCCATTATCACAGGTGTAGTGGTCACTTCAGTGGTGATTGGAGTACTTGATGATGACTGAATGGGGCTCTCTACCTTTAACTTGACAAAAAACTTTCAAAATATGAAACATATTGAAACACAAAGTTTGTAATGAAAATTATCGTACGAATTCTTATTTACTTTTTTTGACTTTTCCGGCTCAGTGTTCGTACTCAAACTTGTCGCTTCCGTTATGGTTGTCTGCACGTTATTGCTTGATACAGCTTGCTGTACAACAGAACTCACAGCAACCACAACCGAACCGCTGGCTTCGGAACTGACTGATTGATTTGAATTTTCATTCCCTATTACCGTCGGCGTTCGCGCCCCTGTCTTTCTCTTTTTACTGTGGCTCGAAGTTTTGTTGGACGACGAGGAGTTTGATTTCGTTTGTCCACTATTTTTGTGACCGGAGCTCGAGTTCGATCCGGATTTAATGGTAGCGGCGGGC